TCCTCCATACTACCTTAACAGACTACATGCTTAAAACTTAGCTTTTTTTTTTTTTTTGCATGTTGGGCATTAGCTGGGGTATTAACAAATATACGGGATTCTCTCACATTAATCTGTTATAATACATTTTTTCACGCACTTCTAATCCAACACACTTACTTCATATCAAATATTTAATTTCCACTCTCTTTCCATGTACTGTCCTTCATTGCCACATCTTATAACTCAGATTCGTCTGTAAAAACTTGCATTTGTGGTCACAGTGGTGCCTATTCTAACCTTCCTATGGTGTAGAAATATACCTAGTTGGATGAACCTTATTGTGGCTAGCTGGTCCAGTGGCTAACTCGACGGTCTGGAGTTTTGAGACTCGGATCGCGGGTTCCATCCCCACCCTTCACTCATCATGTTAATATTTTTATAATATTGAAGACGGGAGCACTAAACCCGTAAGGGCTATACAGTGCCTGGGAAATGGGAGGCATTCAGGTTTAATCCAAAGGAGAAGAGAGCAGATCAATTATTATAATCAAAACTGAACGCTAAACCCACAAGGACAATACAGGAAAGCAGGTACAATTCCTTGGATCAAGAGCCCCCACTAGCTTCAAGGAACCTCCCTTTCTTAACATTAGTATTACGGCCATGTTTTCAAGCTAGATTAAATTATAATTAGGAGTTGCTACACTTTGATGAAAATTATTAATATTCGCTGGGGCTTAACTCGTAAGGGTCATATAGCACAGGTCCAGCTCCTTAGAACAAGAGCCCCTCACTATATAATTATAGGGGAGTGCTAAACCCGCAGGATTATACTGCGCATGTGGGGGGGGGTGGAAAGTATTCAGGCTCAATTCAGGGAACTGGAGCACAGATCTAATTCTCTAGATCAAGAGCCCTCACCAGCGTCAAGTAACCTCCCTTGAGGGAGCCCCTCACTAGCATCAAGGAGCTTCCTCATGGGTACATTAGTGAAACGCTAAACCCACAGGGGCTATGTAGGACCTGAGAGGTGGAAGACAATCAGGTTGGAAACAAGAGGAAGATAACTTTAATTCATTGAACAAAAGCACTTTACCTACAGTCAAGGCACCACCTTGAATGGAAGTTTCATCGATGGTGTACTTTGGTATGTAAATAGGTATTTAAAGTGTAATTTATAAATATTGTTATTATCCACAGAAAAGTGCTAAACCCACATGGGCCATGCAGTGGAGAGGTGATGGCCAAGCTTTAAAAGGTCTATAGAGGTTAGTGAAGTTAGCGGTTAGAGGGAGAAGAAAATTAACTGTACCTTCAATCAGTTCTATTGTTATTATTAAATCAAATTCTGAATCCATATGGATCATGCAACACTAGTTCAAGATGTGTAAGAGGCACCCAGATATGACAGTTTAGATGTCACTCCAAACAGCCAATACCCCAAACCCCTCCTTTGAAGTGCAGGCATTATACAGGGTGTTTCAAAGAGATGGGGGTTAACTGGTATGGCCTAAAGATTAAACGTCGCCTAAACACACGTTAGACAGTCGTATGAGGAATCACAAGTTCCCGGCGAGTGGACTTGCGATCCCTCATACGACTGACGTGTTTTAAGGG